GCCAGGCTAGAAGACCTGCCGCTTCAACCAGGTTTCTGTCTTGTCCCACCCCAGGTGCCCTCCCATTGTAAGAGTATTGCCTATCCATAGCAAATTGCCCCAGTATTTTTGCGGGGCTAAGACCTGACATTTCTCGTACTGCTCCTCCTTTTCCTCCACCTGGTATAGAATACCTGTCCTTACCTCAAAGCAGGGACTCAGCTTTGCTTTCTCAGGATCTAACACCACACCTTCTTGTTTGGCCAGCTGAGTCTGCCAGATGTTCCTGAAGAGAGGCTCGTGCTTCTGCTCCTCCTGGAAGTACCCATTGCCAATGATCTGTTCTAGGTCCAGGTCTCCTCCATCTTCTTCCTCCGGGGCTGCAAGACACTTTGCCACTCCCCACCACCTCTTCTCAAAACCAGCATGACCACCTTCTTCATGTGCAGTCAGTCAACTCCCAGGAGACTGGAGCAGGGAAGGGTCTCTGCGAGCTCCACCGTGATCTCTTCCGTTCAGCCCATTACTGATAGCTGTAGCCACTTCCTCTTGTAGGTATACAAGGCCCCATGGATACAGACCATACTCATGGGCAATTTGGGACTCCCTAGCTGTGAGGGTACCAGGTCTGCCCTTATGGACTAGGAGCAGCTGGTGTCGACAACTGTGGGAATGATGGTGTCTCCCACTCAAACCTTGACCATTGTCTTATTCTGTTGCCTTGGCCCCTTGTGCCACCCAAAACTGCAGTCCATCTTTTTGTCATGAGGACTCTTGGTTGTTAGCTCAGCTTGAGGGCAGTGTGGGCAGAATCGGGATACATGCCTTTTTTACCCGTATCTGTAGCATGCTATGTCCCTGGCATCCCAGCCTCGGGGTTCCCAGCCTGCAGGCTGGACCATGTTTCCCCTTTCCCTTTGTTGGGGCCTTCCAGATGCTATCTCATCCCCGCCCCTCCAGGACGTTCCTTCTGGGGTCCCTCTCCCTTGGCTTTGGCGGCGACATAATCTTTGGCTAGGCGTAAGGCTTCTTCCACCATCTTTGACTGGTGCTGCCTTACCCAGTGCAGGGTGCTGCCCTCAAGATCTGTTAGGAATTGCTCCAGTACAATGAGGTCCACTACCTCCCCTATGGTTCAGACCTCTGGCTGGAGCCAACATTCCACCAGGTCCCATAGTGTCTGGACAAGCAAGCGTAGGCAGAGTCCCTCCTCCCCTTTCCGGGCCTGGAACTTCTGCTGGTATGTCTCTGGAGAGATCTTGAGGCGTTATAGAATGGCTTCCTTTACCTTCCCATAATCCCTGGCCTCTGTTTGGGAGAGAGCCCTGTAGGCTGCCTGCGCACAGCCAATGAGGAGGGGGCCTAAGCACACCACCCAGCTGCTCAGTTCCCACTTACAAGCAGCTGCCATCCTCAAAAGCTTCTTAATATGCCTCCACGTCATCCTGGGGTGTCATTCTGGGGAACTGAGAGCCTTCACTGTCCCTCCCCAGGGACGCCTGTTGGGCTTCGATTTTTTCTCATAGATCCTGCTGCTGGGCAAACAGTCGGATCCTTGCCTCTGCTTTTTGTGTCTGCACCCAGACCATCTCTTCTAGTTGAGCCTGTTGGCCCTGTAGCAATCTCAGAGTAATGTTATGAGCCTGCTGCCAATCAGTTGGGGTCTGGATGTCCATAGATTCCATGGTTCCCCATGCAGCTTGGGGGATTTCCCAGCCAATGCACCACTTTGGAAGTGGGTGTCAGTTACCTGCCCCTCCACTCTTCAGGACTCACCTGCCATGACTAAGGAGATGGAAATATAATAAGATGTTAATCCCTGAAGGGGAGGGTGATAAGTAATGAGCCACCCAGGTGACAGTTTCACCAAGTGCTGGCCTTTATTGGTGCTTGATACATAGTAAATAACTGCATTAATTGCCCTATTAACATGGAAGCAGCTGTTCTGCCGCTTGGCTGATTGCCATTTCTCTGATCTTCTTCCAATCACGGCGGTTTCCTGGCCATCCTGATCAGGGAGTGTAGTTGTCTCTGTGGTTTTTCCTGGAGCCATGTCCTGGGCTCTCATGGGTCTTGCTGGCCTCCCGCCATCCACAGCCCTCTGCATGAGCATCCCCAACTTACCAGTTTGTCATCAGTTTCCTGTTCACAGTGCCTTCCACTGCTCAGCCATCCCTGCAGTCAAACTGATCTGCTTCTCTCCAATGCCCTGAGGGCAAATGTGTGATCCCCGGCTCTGCCTTTTCTGCACAGCAGTAGCTGTATTTACCCTGATCCTTTCCCATTGTGTAAACCTCCCACCACTGTGCTCAGGCTCTCTCTCTTACCGGTATCCCGGGTATTACTTAGTAACAGGGCTTCAGCTTGATCCCCTATTACAGGCAGCTACATTAAACTTTTTTTAGTGGTCTCCCTACTACTATGCTGACATTCTTCCTCACTGCAATATAGACACACCCATTCTCAAAACACAAAAAGGAGCTTCAAAAAAAGTATGAATTCTGCTTCAAACCAATGTAAAAAAAGAAATAGTTGAAAACCATATTAACAAAAAGACTTATAATTTCTGCTCTGCTCTTTTCTTCTGGTTCTTGTTAAGTTTCTCATGCACATGATACAACCAAGAGATTGGCAGATCTGTATTTGCATACAATGTTTTGTTAATGTGGAAGTGATTGTTCTTAATGAGGAGGCAACCATGCTTCCATGATTGCAGGGGCTTCCTTGGTTGTGAAGAGATCTGGATTTGTGAGGACAGTAGCAAGTGTCATTCCATTCTTGGATGGCAGCTTTTGTCTCTGGGGAGGGCAGGAGACTTTTATGGTAGTGACCTTGTGGGGAGTGAAGGATCTGCAGCTATGTCTTTCTGTCCCTAGCACAACCATTTCTTTCTTATCTCATCAGATTCCTTCGTAGGGCTGGGGGAATTAAAGAGTGGTGGTGAGATGCGTGAGTGGGGGTTACCTCTTCTATTCTCCAGTTCTCTATAGAGGGCTTGGATGTAATGAGGAAGGAGACAGTAGAAGTTCTTGTTTTCTTAGGACTCCTCTGCGTATCCTGGCAAGAGCTGAGACATTAGCGGGCATTGCTGTTGTTCATGATAGTTTTGAAGTTAGGTGGTGGAGCAGAAGATAAACAGGGAAGCAGCAGACATGAGCCTGTTTGCAGTAATATTGTGTGTGGATCTGAAAGAAAATAATTTACTTGGGTTCAGGAGCTTTGGGTTCTATTCCTGGCTCTGCCATTGGTGTGCTGGATGGCCTTGGACAAGTCTCTGCCTCAGTTTTGTCATCTGTAAAATAGAGATAATGACCTGATCTCCTTTATGAAATCTGAAATGTGCAGATGAAAAATGTTGTAGGGAAACACTGTTGTCATTTTAAAACAGTACAATCAAATTGACAGTCCATTACAAGTGAGCTATTCATGTTGTCCTAAGGTCATATGAATATTTTTTCCATGTAAAAGTAAAGTAGTAGATTTAAAGAATTGAAATATTGGTATAATGATGGAATATTGTAGGTTTCTTGTAATTGTGTATATGAACAAAATAGCAGCATAATTTCTGTTATTACTTCTGCAGGTGTCAAGCTGTAGGCATTGCACTTCTGTTTGGATAAACAAGTCAAAGATTGTGGTTCCAAATGTTACAAATACATAGTGATGGCTGAAAAGTAGTCTGAAGGGCTGTTTAACATGGCTGTTTAAGTGTTAGTTATTTGTGAAGAGCATTCGTAAGGCTTCATGCTGTTTTGATGTATGTAGTAATCAGCTTTTCCACTGAGGTCCATTTGAAAGGCTGTTTGTGGAATGCTGTTCTTCTAGTTTAGTTGCATTAGGGACATAGTCTCACCTGTTACGGCAATTTCTAGTTATCCGGATAGTCCAACTGAGTGACTCCAATAGGAGTTGCTTTAGAAAAAGGTTGAAGAAAAACCCAAATGTTAAGTATGGCATAATCTGGCCATTGGAGAAGTCTTTCCTGAGTAGTTATATGATGCAGGATTTATGAATGTTCATAGTGTTATTCCCCGTGCATATACCTTGAATAGGTTGACATTTTTTTTTCTACTGGTAAATTCTATTCATGTAATTTCTGCTCCTCTGAAACTCCTCACTCCTTTTCAGTGTGGACTGTTTTTTGTCATCTGCAGATGTTGCCGTATCGTTGTTCCTTCCCTTTCAAATCATACCAAAGATACATTACCCAACCTTGGCCTTAAATACAGCTCCTGGTAACACCCCACTTTTTTTATGTTTTGCCAGGATAAATATATGCCCTTTTCCATGTTCAGTACTTAGACAGAAAACAGGCATGGATCAGAAACTGGCTTTTATTGGTCATTTAGTGTTTTTTAATACCCTCCAGCTGTTTGTCACAGAGGGTTCCACTGAGCCAGTGAGGTACCCTTGTGGAAACTTGGGGTTCTTGAATTTTGCATAAATCAATCTTGCACTAAGCTGTTCCAGTGGGCTGAAGGGATACCACTGCTTTTCCTTACACTGACTGCACCCAAGTGGTATTATTCCATTTCAGTCAGGCTAAATCTCCATCTCCTTTGAAAACAAGTGTTGGGGGGATAAAATGTCATTTATTTTTAATAGAAATATGGCTTTAACCATGTGTGTATGTGTAGAGAGAATCCCCAAGCAGGCATTTCACCTTTAAATTATCACCAGTGAAGACTATTACAGTCAGAATACAATAGCTTAGATGCTGGTTTTGGAAGAGTAGTTGCTAAAGGTAATGTTCCCATAATACGAAGAATATTAATGGTGAGACCTTTTCATGCTACTGACTGGTTAAAATAATGAAGTAGAAGTCAAATAACTAGTATTGCATGATACTGGGTTTAAACAAATATGTATACCTATTACTGGATATATTGAAATCTTCTGAAAGATTTGATGAAAAAACTAAGCTGCTTCAAAGGAAAAGAATTGTATATCAAGGTTCTGTTTATCTAATATGATAGTATATAAGATTTCACAAAATGCACATTTTTTTGTTTGTTGTACAGGTTTCTGCATGTTTGTACTGAGTTTAGTGAAGAGACAATATCGTCTACAGTTTTACATGGTTTGTATTAACTACTTTTATATATTCACTCATCTTGTTATTGAAACCATATGTAATGTTAAAATATCTGTCTTGTCATTATTTGGAAGTTAAAAAATATTTAAAATTAGCTAGTAAGTTCATTGTAATAAAATGGGTTATCTAAATGTCAGGTTTTGTAGGTATTTCTAGCTCTTAACTTAATAGTGTATCACAATGTGGCCTCAGAATAACTACAGAGCTATTATTTGTGGGATTTTGTGGATACAACATTTTTTTCTTTTTAGTGACAGTTTTAAAAAATAATTTTCAAAATATTACGTGTTAATTTTTGGCTTCTAAGTCTGAGAATATTTGGGATATTGTGAAAGGTAAACCTTGCCACTCAAACAAGAACCTTACACAGTGGCCCTTTTTATATTGTCAGAATGTAATTGTGCAGTGAAAGAAGTTTATCATGTCTTTGACTAGTGATTTATCAGTTAAAGGAGTGCTGTGGTCTGGTGTACCAGACTAGATTGTCACTTAAATAAACAAAACTAAAAAACAACACCACACTTGAATCAGTATTCTTTCTATCTCATCTTAAACACAGTGTGCATCTAAAATTTCCCTATTATAAAACCTCTTTAGAAACAGCAGTGATAGGATCCTGAACCCTGTCTTCGAGGCACCATCTCAGTCATTTGAGTCCAGGCAAAAGTTGCTTAAATCTCTAGGCTTGCATTCAGCAATTCTGGTCACCTGACACATTATTACTGCCACTAGTACAATCTTAACATCATGGAGATCAGCTTGTTTACCAGGACACGATTGAACTTCTGTTCAAATGTGGAATAAAAAGACGGTCTCTACCGTAGTGGGGTATCTGCAGACAGTGTACACATATATTAATTTCACTTTTTTCCTGGGGAAGGACTGTGAAGGGTGCCAGTCATAACAGCCTTCTGAAACTTGCCTAGGTGTTACAGTGATGAGAAAAATATGAACATGTCTGCACCGTGACATCAGTGTGCCCTGGCTGGGAGAGTCCCAAGCATGTTCTACATGCACATACAGAAATATATTGGCGAAGTGCTGTAGGGCGGGGGTGTCAAATGTGTGGCCTACCAGTTGGATACAGTCCATGGAGCCCCATCATCTGGCCCCTGGTGGTGGCCCTATATCTACAATTGACCCACATGGTCAATGCTTCAGCTGATTTGGGACCCATGCTGCATAAGGTGTGCCTACCTCCCCCACCACTGTCTCTCTCCCCCCGTGGTGACTTCTCCGGGGTGACTGTGTGTAGCATGAATCCTGGACTGGCCAGAGTGAACACCAAGTGGAGCTTGCATCTTGGACAAGCCCTGCAGAGGTGCCACATGTGGCTGAGTCTCAAAGCAGGTGGAGTAAGTACCATATGCCCTAGATCTACCAAGCAGGGTTGAGGGGAGAGAAGATGGGGTTGTTCCATGGACTTGATCCAGCCTTTGAGGTCAGCATACATCATTCATCCAGCCCATGGACCAGGCCTACACAACTCATCTGGCCTACAAGGCCAAATGAGTTTGATACCTCTGCTGTAGAGCAGTGATTCTCAACTGGCATGCTCTAAGATCCCTAAAAGGGTGTTGTAGGGTTCTGCACAATACTAGGTGTGAAAACCTTCACACCATACCTTCACAAGGTAAACCCAGAGATTTCAAATAGGAAACTATAGTGTCAAAAACTTCCTGACCTTTGTGGCTTTTCTGACTTTTTAAAACAGAAAAACAGCTCTATTATCTTTCCATAGTCAGGAAAAAAAACCCAAGTGACAGCTAAGAGCTGTCATTTTTGGAGGGGTGCCTTCAGATAAAAAAAACCTGAGAACCACTGCTTTAGGGTCATTCTTAGAGGCTGCTATTAAGCATGCTAGAAATCAGGGTCTCAAGAATGGCCACTTAAGGACTCTACAGTGTTTGCAGTAGCAAGTTTTTGTGTTTAGAACAGGGATGGGTAATTATTTCTCCTGGAGAGTCACTTACGGAGTTTTGGTGAGCTATTGTGAGCTGGATCAGCACACCCCTCCCACCCCCGCCTCCTCCCCCCAGCCCACAACAGCTCACCAAAACTCCTTAAGTGGCTCTGCCCTGGGGCTTGGATCCGCACTATCACTGTCCAGTGATCCCAGCTCCAAGGGCTTCATGGAGACTAGCCCAGAAACCCTGCGGGCAGGGTGTGCTTGGCTGGGTGGATGGGATGGAGCTGCGGGTGAGCAGGGAATGGTGTCTGGGAGCATGACAGGTACGGCTGGGGCCAGGATCGTAGGGTGGTGACATCATGGGGCCATGGTCTGGGGCAGAACTGTGATCCACCCCCCAACATGCCCCTACCCATGGAACCAGCACTTGTTGCACAGATGTGTGGGCAGCGGATTGTGGCTCTGCCCCAAGTCCTGGCCCTGTGCTGTTACTGCCCAATGATTCTGGCCCCAGTGCAGCCCGCTCATCCCATTCCTGGATGCTGCTTCCTGCCAGCCTGTGGCCCCATCCTATCTGCCCAGCCGAGTGTGGACATGGGTCCTCAACCGTTCTCAGTGGAGACCCTGCCCACTCTGTCCGGTGTCCCTAATAGTGGGTGTGGGGCAGACAGACCAGGGTCTAGTGTCAGTGGTGACACTGGCAGCAGCACCTAGAAGGAGCTGCCACTGCTGGGAATCAGAGTCTGGCTGCTGTGCTGTGCTGCCCTAATCCCGGTGCCCATGGGGGTGGCGGGACTGGCCATGTGCACCACGGCCCAGGCTGCCTCCTGCACCAGGGCTGGGTGGAGCCGAGGGACCTTCTACAAGCTGGATAAAAACCTTTTGTGGGCTGGATTCATCCTGTGGGCTGTATTTTGCCCACCCTGGGTTTAAACTGAGCAGAAGGATGTGACCAGGAGGAGGTTTGGGAGTGCCAAGCACACCCTGCTTGCAGGGTTTCTGGGCTAGTCTCCATGAAGACCTTGGAGCTGGGGTCACTGGACAGTGATAGTGTGGGTCCAAGCCCCAGGGCAGAGCCACTTAAGGAGTGGCTGCCATGGAGTAAACACACCCAGTGAAAACCTGAACTGCATGGAATGAGCAATGCAGAATTTCTTTGTTGGCAGGGAGCAGTCTCATTGAAGGGGTGGATATTTGCTTTTGAGCCTTTTTCAACAACCACAATAGCAGCAGTAAAAATTCTAGATACCAAAGGGGAGATACTTCACTTGCTCACAGATTATCTTTTCAGTAGGCCCAGTCACTTTGAACCACCCAACACCTCCCCCACCTTGAAACTTGAGCCCTTTGATTGGAGGTAAATGTTTGCTCTTAGAAAATGGAAAGCAGTGTCTGGTAGGAAAATGGAAGGAAATCACCAGTTTATAAATGCTAAATAATATGTTTAGTCTAGGTCTCAAGTCTGTAACACTAAAATTGCTTATCAGAAACATGAGCAACTCTTGATTAATAAAAGGTTTTGATGAATGAAAAGCTATAAAACTCTAGCTGTTGATATATACTGTCTTGAAACCTCTGCCTGGATCATATGTACTGACACAACAAAATACTTTCAAAATACAATGCACTAATGTATATATACTAATGTAAAAGGACTATATACTTAACAAAGTGACTTTACACAGTATAAGATAACAAATTCTTATTCTTACTGTTCCTACCATTAGAAACCTGAAATCTCAGTATTTAATAAGAGGGCTTTGTCATGGCAGATTTCCATATCTCTGTAACATGATTCTTTCATGAACTCTTCAGTGCCATTATAATGTTATATTTCTAACTTGTCTATCGTATGTAGAAACAGAGTATCACAGTGGCTACCATTTTTCTGTTTTTTCATGTTAATTTTGCCTTTATAGATTAAGTGTTTAACATGCAAAAATCTAGATCAGGGGTTGGCAGCCTATAACCCAAGGCTGGATGTGGCCCATGAAGATGTTGGATTTGGCCTGGGAAAGTCTGACCTAGCATGGGGAATCAGGCACAGCACAGTTGTGCTGAGCCGCCTTGTCCCCTCCACAGCACCCTTCTCCACAGTCCTTCCTGTTGCTGTCTCATACCTGTACTTAGCTTTCCTGCAGAGGGGCTTGCTAGCTACAGTGAGGGTAAGCTCAGGTGGTTTGAGCTCTTGGGCTTGGAGGAAGAAGTATGATTTTCAGCCCATGGACTGGGTCACAAGCTCTAGCCCTCAGTAGCAAAAGTTTGCCAACCTCTATCCAAGATGAATGCTGTAGATAAATTTTAAAAATTTTTCCTCATGTATCATTTTTTTCAGAAATGTAGCTAACTCATGATATACTGTACGCACACACCTTTTTCATTATCAGTAAAACTGGTCTTTCCTTTGAGCTTCTCTTCATCTCCTTCATTTGAAATACCAGTATTTACCTTGATGTTTTGATCTGTGTTTTCGCTAATTGTTGTGTTGTTGCACTGTTAACAGTTCGCATGGACTCATGTCACTTTGCTGATCACTGTAACTCAATCTCATCTTGTCATCCAAAATCTGTTTGAAGGCATGATCTGGTAAGGGGACAGTAATAAACTGGTTTGTAATTTTATTGCATATATATATATATATATATATATATATATATTTAAGCCCATGAATAATCCCACCCTTTTCCAGCAAATTACTTAAATATATGCTTTGAGTTTAAAGTTACGCACATGCATGTGATTTGCTAAATAGGAATGGAATGTCTTGCGTGTTTATTTAACGAAACACGTGCCTAGGTACTTTGCTTAACTAAGATCTAAATAAGTAAATAAGTATTCTGAGTTTCAAAATGCCTGAACACTTAGCAGTCCCCTGTGAACTAATTGGGAACTGCTTACAGATCTCTTAGCACTTGTAAATCAGGCTACTTAGGAATTTAGGAGTGGATTAAGGAGCCTAATTTTAGGCACTCTTTTTTGGAAACAAATCACTCATCTAATTCTTAAAAATAGTCCTCTGTGAGTAATCATTCTTTCCCTAACCTTCTGGAACCAGACCTATTGTGCCAGAATCCTTTCTGAATAAAATAGTTGTTTTTAAGGGTCCAGCAAAGATAATTTTATCACACTTTATCCTATATAAATTCAACTAAAATAACCAAAAAGCAACTGTTTGGCTGTATTTCCTTTTTTTGATAGACACTGGTTATCTGAACAAATCAAAATGTATAGTAGATGATGTTCTTTACTAAAACTTTAAATACTTAATTTCCTACATAAATAGTTCAGATATTTTAGAGCAGGAGTTGGCAACTTCTTACAAATGGTAGGCTGCTGCTTGTGACCCAGCCAACACTGGTCTGGGTTCTGGTGCAATTAAAGGAAATACAGTTAGTTACAAAGCAGACATCTTTTAACAGTAACTTGAAACTGGATGGATTATGTAAGAATTCACTTCTAGCTGCATATTAAGCTGTTACAATACACTGAAAGTGACATCACTGTGGTAAAACTGCATGCTAATATCCTTTTTCTTTACTGAATGTAGAGGGAATTTTAGACTACTACTTATTGAAAAATACTGAATGAGCACCCAGGAGTTTATTATACACATTGTTCAAAGTGTACAGATTTGCCTGGATTGCTTTTTTCTCTCATGGTGCATGTGAAGTTGTATATTAATTAATACTCAATTATAATTGCTGAACTTGTCGGATACAAGAGCCCAACAAATCCTCCACTGTGTTTGAAAAGTATATGAACCCATATTTTTTCTTAGTAAGCCTGGTGCTTAAAGTTAAGTTCCAAAAAGTTAAGTCTAGTTTTGTATGTTTATACTTTTGTTGTTGAGTTTCAACAGCTACTGAAAAAGCTGTTTTATGTCTGTCTACAGACATACACTGCATTTTATCAACTAAAGCTGTGTCTTTATGGTAAACATTCTGTCCTCAGTTGTGCCACACTTGAGCAAACTGGGCTGTTTCAGCATGGCACTTTGGATGAGATAATCAGCACCTCTGAATGATAATGCCAGTTTATTTGACCACCAGATAATTAACCTGGCTGTGCCAATGTGGTCAAGCTGCTTTTAGTGTAGAAAGCAGCCTTCCTGTGGCATTGAAAACTACTTGAGGGTGATACTGCTGAGGATAGGAAGTTTACTATATAGAGAAAGCCTTATAGACCTGCAGAAAAAAGGGAGAGAAGGACACTAATCTGAGAATATAATAACTATCATAACCTACTAGCCCTGTAGAGAGGAAAGAAGGAGGCTTTTCATTTTTTAGATTTCATTAGATGTATAACAAGACATGTGTTTGCCTTGATGTGACTAAGTACCATTAAGTATTATGCTTTTGTGTTAACTGTAGTACTGACCTGGTTTTATATTATAAAAAGTAATTCTACTTATATGCAAGCTTGATGCCCAAGCATTTAGATCTTTGTTGGATAGAAGCTATAAATGATGCAACTGAAAGCTGCAAAATTGACTAGATGGGTATAAGAAGAAATGCTATCATCATGTAGCTTTAAGTGACTAATATCCTTGTGTTGTCCTTAAGTTTTATTTCAGCATTTTTCCTGAAGAGTTTTTATATTTCTTTCTAGGTTTCTGGTACCAATCTCAAGTGTTATCTGCAATGATATTACTGCTTACATTTTCGGCTTCTTCTTTGGGAGAACTCCATTAATTAAGGTGTTGATATATATAATTCTCTATGAACTATTTTTTACAATTTTTAAACAAGTGGCTGATACTGTCCCAGAGTTACTTTTGTGGTATATTTATAGCAACTGTATCTTGTTTTCACACACACATTACAAGCTATGCTGATACATTATTTTGTTTGTTTTGCTATCTGCGAGATCCTATGAAAAGTATTGGTCTATATTTGTAATAGTGACTGTGAACTTATAATGTTAACATCTTGAAAAGCTGATGGGTCCATGCAGCTTTTATATGTCTTCCAAATTGTGAATTGTGAATGAATTAGGTAATTTAACACAGCTATGTTAAGAGAGGAATTTTATTCAAAATATTGGGACTGCATAGTCCAACATTATGCCCTATGGCAAATATGCTGTATGCCAAAATCAGATAGGCATAGGTTTCCCTAGAGTCTTGACTTTGGCGAAGTGCAAATAAGTTATGCCTTTCTTTGTAAATTTTCTAAATCTTCTGATACAGACTGCTGTCAAGGGTAGCATATTGTAGCATATATGGAATAATTGGCCCATTTAGGACATGGCAAGTACCATGTTCCTACATTGCCAAACTCTTAGTTACAATTAATATAACATAGGATGAGAGACTTCTGCTTTTTGCAGACCTGTGAAATCTAACATTATGCCTCACAAGGTAATTGAAACCTTCACTGATACTGTTTTGAGTCATATTACTATATTTACTTGATTCTAAGATTAGTACAGGGTTGGCAGGCACTCGTTACCCCTTGCTCTGGGTCCCTTCCCCCTCCTCTGCTGGAAGCAGCAGTGCCACCTCCAGTGCTCGCGTGCAGAGCCGACCTTAGGGAAAATGGCACCCTGGGCAAACTTGTAGTTTGTCTCCCCCACCCCCGGAAGTCAGCGGTGCAGCTGCAGGCAGAGGCAA